GGTCATTGAATAATGTGGCCACTCTAACAGGGGCTTGTTCCACACATCTTTATTTGAAGGATACACAAAAAAGACATCCCTTCACTTCCACAACTTTTTGATGGACATGTTTTTCTCACTATCCTTCTGCATGACCTAGAGAGGAAAGAGAGAGCACACACTTGTGAGCATGAGTTATGAACACAAATCTTAGTCTCTGCTCCAGAGCAACCATCAGCAAAAGCAGAACAGTGGAGGCATGTACCTTGGCTACTGCCATCTCAAAATCTTCCTGGGTGACATGGACTCGCCGTTCCCGCAGTGCATACATGCCAGCCTCTGTGCACACGCCCTGAGCAGGAAAAGGAAGCTGAGACACTGTTGCCCCATCAACCCTGAGATATAACCTTGAACCCAGAGCTTCCTGCCACTCCGTTTCCCTGAGATTCCAGTTACCTTAACCTCAGCTCCTGATGCTCCTGGCATTAGCTCAGCAATTTTTCTCAAGTTGATCCCCCGGGTCAGGTTCATTTTCCGGGAGTGGATTTTCAAAATGTCCAGCCGGGCCTAGGAATGGGAGAGGAAAGCCCTTGGTCCCACACCTTATCCCCACAGCCAGAGCCATTCCACAAACTATCTACCACAAACCTCCTCATTAGGGGGTGGGAATTCAATTTTTCTGTCGATGCGCCCTGGGCGAAGCAGTGCAGAATCCAAGATGTCAATCCTATTAGTAGCCATGATAACCTGAGCAGAGAAAGGAAGATAAAATCAGCTAAGCTCTTAGCCTGTATGTCACCCAAAGCCTTCCACTGGCTTGTCTAAAGGCCTGCACCACTTTACCTTGATATTCTTGGTGGCTTCAAAGCCATCTAGCTGGTTAAGCAGCTCCAGCATTGTGCGCTGCACCTCACTGTCTCCTCCAGAGCCCCCCTCCAGCCGAGAGGAGCCAATGGAGTCGATTTCATCCATGAAGATGATAGATGGAGCGTGTTCTCGTGCCATGACAAACAGCTCCCGCACCATTCTTGCCCCTGTGCAGAGACCCAGCTGGCATTAGAAGCTAATGAGCTTCTCACCCTTCACTCTTCTACTCGTTTCTCACATTCCTAACCAGTTACCTTCCCCAATGAATTTCTGTACCAATTCTGAGCCAGAGACACGAATAAAGGTACAGTCAGTATGATGAGCCACAGCCCGGGCCAACAGTGTCTTCCCGGTGCCTGGAGGTCCGTATAACAGCACTCCCTATAGGGAAACAACAGGACTCAGTGCAGAAAGCGGGCTTCATGCCATTCAGTGAGCATATTACTGCATGCTAGCTTTGTGCTTGGTCCCTTGCTAGAGGCTACAGATGCTCTTTTTTAGAGCTTACAGCTAAAACAGTTTAGTGCCCTAGAAACTCCTCTCCCCCAGCTGCTGCTATTCAGCAGAAAGGACAGCCCAAGCAGGGTGCAGCCTGTCCCAACCCAAGCACTTGATCTGGCCTGGGGCAGGAGTAAGTACAGCCAACCTGTATACCTCACGGAAGCCCAGTCCTCACCTTGGGCTGTGCAATGCCCAGGGCTTCAAAGAGCTCAGGGTGCTTCACGGGCAGCTCAATCACTTCTTTGATCTCCTTGATTTGCTTGTCCAATCCACCAATCATCTCATAGGTCGAGTCAGGCACCTTTTCCACCATCATGAGTGACACTAGAGGGTCCACCTTGTTGGGTAGAATCTTGTGCAGAGTGTAGCTGTCATTTCTTAGGGCCACCCGGCAATTGGGTGTCACCTGGACGGAGGTGGCAAGTTTCAGGAAGTAGTACACTAAGAGCTGACCCCACCCCCCACTCACCTGGTACACTCACATCATTGATGTCGATGTTCTTGTCCACATCTACGACAAACTTGCCCTCAGGATGTACCTGAAGAAACAAGGGCTCATGTCTCTTTTTTTTTTTTTTTTCTGAGACAGCATCTCATTATGTAGGCCAGGCTGGCCTCAAACTCACAGCCATCCTGTCTCAGCTTCCCAACTGCTGGGATTACAGCCATGTGCCACCATACCCAGCCCTTGTGACCTTTCTTATGGCCACCAAATCACCATATCAGCAAGACCCATGGGATTCCAGAATAACATGACGGAACACTGTCCATGAGGCTATGTATAAAGGGTGGGGAAGCAGTGGGTGACAGGCTGGTCATGTTGCCTTTACCTTGACCAACACTTTCTTCTTATCCATTGCCCGGACTACTTCACCCACATAGGAGCCCTGTTCCTGCAGCAGCTGTAGCTCTTCCCGCAACAGGCGAACTAAATGGCAAATAGATATAGTGATCACCTAGTTTCTCCTTTGTGTCCCCTGCCTGGGGATTAATTCAACATGAACTAAGTACAGCACCATTTTGAAATTTCGAAGGAAAGTTTCACTCTTTCTCACACACACATGTCCCAAAGGGGCTTATAAGGGAACTCTAGATAGAGATGTGCAGTGGGAAACCACTAATGACTGTGAAGCATCACCTTGGACTAGAGGGAAAGCACTGCTATGAGGCTGCCAGTCAAGGAGCAGCCAGACTTCAAACTGTCTACATGCAGCTTCCTATCTTATCCCTCACCTTTTGCATTTAGCTCATTCCTCTGTGCCTGCAGCCGCCGAAGGTTTTGGCTCTTATCATTCACAATCAACTGTGGAAAGCAAGAGAAAATTCTGTTACTCAAAGGCAACAGATAGGAGGCAGGATCTTGGCCAGGACTCTCATAGGCAGGCTGAGCTACAATAAAGGTACTGGTGCCTCCATGTTCAGATTCTCTAGTAGGATCCCAATGACCTTGTCCTGTCCTTCAAGAGTCCCTTTGGAGCCTGAAGTAGCCATCAAAAAGGCTGCTTGGGAAATGTTACAGCTGGCTTATGTAGTAACTTTTTTTTTTTTGTACTGGGGATTGAATTTAGGGCTTTAGCACTGAACTACATTCCCCAACCCTTTTCATTGTTTTGAGACAGAGTCTTGCTAAATTGTCCAAGTGGGACTTGAACCTGTGATCCTCCTGGTTCAGTGTCCCAAGTGCTGGGATATACATACTGACTCTTCATGGGGAAGCAACATGCTTATAGTGGAAAGGTCTTTGGGTAGGAAATCTGAGTTCTAGCTCAGCTGCTGTCAATTTAAAATGAGGTAAAGCACTAGGGATATAGCTCAGTGGCAGAGTACTTGCCTAGCATTTATAAGGTCCTGTGTTCAACTCCCTACTATTGGAAAAAAGAAAAAAAAAAAAATCAAGCATGCACAAGGCCCTGGGTTTGATTCCCAGTATATAATAACTACAAGTGTACCTGGAGCTTGGAAATTTTTTTGTCTCTTCTCATGCATTATATTGTTATTTCTCTGGCTTAGCTGGTTAGGCTAACACACTGAGATGCCCAGTTCCTTTCATTCAGTCCCCATGACATCAGTGTTGTTCGACTCCTCAATTCTGTCCCTCCCCACGTTGTCATTTCACCTAGCCCCAGCCTTTTCCTGATAAATCTCATCTCCTGAGCCTATGTCTCCTCTTTTTAAAGAAACTTCTGCGTTCATACTTCTTTCTCTCAAAAGATTAGTGTTGGGCTAGGGACCTAGAATTTGACTCTTAGGAACTGAGTAACAAAATGTATTATTGCCCTTAAAGGGGTGGGGCTTGAGGATAACAAAACTTTTTTTCTTTCTTTCCCAGAGACAGGGTCTCTCCAGGTAGTCCAGGCTGGCCTTGAACTCACAGTGATCCTTCTGCCTCAGCCTCCCAAGCACTGAGATTACAGGTGTGGACCACCACACCTGGCTCTTAAGGGTAACAAGAGATTATTCGTTTCATATACTTCACACTACTTGTTACTTTTTTTTTTTGAGACAGAGTCTGGCTATGTAGTTCAGACTGGTCTTCAACTCACCATGTAGCCCAGGTTGACCTCGAACTTGTAGCATTCTCCAGCCTCAACCTGAGTGCTGGGATTACAGGCATGCATGTGCCACCACCTGCTACTTGTTACTTCTTACAAGGATACTTTTCTAAGGACTAGAAACAAAATAGGAAAATAGGCCAGGTGGTGGTCCAGGCAGAGGCCAGCCTGGGCTACATGGCCAGTTCGAGTTCACCTTGGACTACACAGCAAGACCCTGCTTCAAAAAACAACAAAAACAGGGCCAGGGATTTAGCTCAGTGGTTTCACCACCTGCTGCGCAAGGACCCTAATTCGATCCCAGGTACCAAAACAAAAACAAACAAAAAACCCCAACCTCCCCCAAAAACAAAATAGGAAAATAGCTTCTTTCACTGCATTGTCAATGGAATTTGTAGAAATCTTCCATTAGTCCGCATCCCCTCCTAGTTCCCTCTACAGTTAGTCCTCACCTGGAGTTCTTCAATCTTGGACAAATAATATTGGCGGAGTCCGCTGCCTGCCTTCCCCTCTTCCAGCTCCATCTGAAGACACAATGTAGTTATTAAACAAGAGGTAAACACTCAAGGAGTAAAGCCACTTTCAGGGCATTTCACTACAAGGCTAAATACCAGGCAGCTCAGCATGGTAAAGAGCTCAGACTTCGGAGGCTTAATATCTGGATTGTAATCCTGCACTCCCTTCCTTTGAAACCTCCATTTTCCCATGGCTAAAATAAAAAAAATACAAACTCCGCCTACCTCCTTAAGGCTTTTTAGAAAGATCGAGAGCCAAGTACACGGGAGGGAGCCCTTGGACTGTGGCAAGTGCCATAAAGATCGGAGGTGATACCACTACAGACGGAGCCAGAAGGAAAGACAGCCATCCAACCTTCCGCTCACGAGGTCCTTCTCACTTCATTTCTACACGGCTCTGCCCTGACTCACCGCGGGCGGCGCTGACACAGCAAATCCAGTCTCAGGCAAGCCCTGGTCTGGATTGGTCCACATACCGCCCCCCCCATCCACCCGACCCTCTGGTCCCGGCCAGCTTTCAACCTAAGGTCCCGCCCGCTCCGTACTTAGCCCCGAGTCTCCGCCCGGCTGCCGCAGTCGCCGTACCTGCTCTGGCCCGTCCAGCGCCATCTTCCCTCTTCAATAGAGACCGCCGGCATCCGAGCCACCTTCGCGCGCAGGCGCAGAAGCGGGGGCTTCGGCCCGGAGACTGAGCAGAGAAGAGTTCCGGGTCACTGGGCGAGGTGTGTCCAGAATACAATAAATAATAGGAGCCATGATGGGAGGGCGTATTCTCAAGATTAGGAGTTTTGGAAGGAAACGAGGAACTAGATCTCCTAATTGTTGCTTCCTAGGAACTTGGTATTTAAATATTGTAATCTTCCCCCCAGTCACATCTTTCAATTTATAAGGCTCGGGGACAACACTCTTATGGCCACACTCAAGATGGAGAAAAACTTGGAGCCAGGGACGCAAGGCGCGCTAGCGGAAGCGGAAGTACACTTGCCTGCATGTGCTCTTCCGTGGCGAAAGCGCCGCTGGGTAGAAGGCTCGTAGTGTGATTTCTGTGGGAAGTTGGTAACGGAAGCGGACTCTAGCTTGGGAAGAGAACTTTTCAACTTCTATGTTCTCCCCAGATTGAGTGACATTCCTCCATTCTATCATGGGCAAGAAGGGCAAAGTTGGCAAGAGCCGGCGGGACAAGTTTTATCATTTGGCAAAGGAGACTGGTGAGTTAGAGTTTGCTCTGAGAGCGAACAAGAGAACCGTCTCGTTGGTCTGCGCCTTTCCAGATGTTGGGCTCCAATTTTCACAGAAGGGGTGGTGGGCCGTGAGGCTGGAAAAGTTCTGCTGGTAGTGTTCCGCGGACGTCATTATTTTGTCTCTGCCCCCGCGCCTCCCAGGTTATCGTTCCCGCTCTGCTTTCAAGCTGATCCAGCTCAATCGCCGCTTTCAGTTCCTGCAGAAAGCTCGAGCCTTATTGGATTTGTGTGCTGCGCCAGGAGGATGGTGTGTAACACTCGGAGCAGTTGCTCCTGGTGGCGGTTTCATGGCCCTGGATTAGAATTATGTTCCTCGGGGGTCGGATTTTGGGCCCCCTACTCCCAACGAAGTGCAATAATTCCAGCCTCAGATTTCTGTACACTCCAGAGCTTAAGTCTATTCTAAACCTTGGGTGGGCTTTTTCCTTTCTTGGTTGCAGAGAAAAGGCTTGGAATGTGTAGATATGATTCCTTTGGCCACTACACTTGTCTAGGCTCTCTGACATCAAGGGTGAGAGATCACATTGCCAGGGGAAGGAAAGAGATAGTTCCAGATGTGGGTTTTTTTGGGGGGGTATCTGGGATCGAACTTGGGTCCTCGCGCTTGCGCAGCAGGCGACAAAACCACTGAGCTAAATCCCTGGCCCCCAGTTCCAGATGTTTTAATCTTTGTTCCTTTCATAGGCTGCAGGTGGCGGCCAAGTTTATGCCTGTGTCCAGTCTTATTGTGGGTGAGTAACTGGTGGCTCTCTTGGATGTTTTAGGGGGAAATGAGGTACTAATTGTGCTACATTTTTTTCCTTGCTCCTTGAGTACTCTGACCTTTCTTCCAGGAGTGGACCTGGTTCCAATCAAGCCTCTCCCCAATGTGGTGACACTTCAGGAGGACATCACAACAGAACGCTGTAGGCAGGTAATAGGAATTCCTCTTTTCCTATCCATTTTGTTTGTTTTTTTGAGACAGGGTTTCACTATGTAGTTCAGGCTGGCCTTGAACTCACTATGTATTCCAGGGTGGCCTCGAACTCATAGCATCCTCTTGCCTCAGCCTCCTGAGTGCTGGGATTATAGGGATGTGCCACCACACCCAGCACCTCCTATCCTTTTATGTACAAATAGCCACAGCTTCCGTATCTCCCAAGTGCAATTTTTACCACATCTCCCAAGTGCCTTCATGATTATCTGTGAGGTATATGGCATTCCTAATGTACACTCTAGCCTTAGTCAGGGGTGAAATCCTTTCCAGTGGACTATTACACTGTAAGCTCCAGGAAGGAATCGATGTATTAGGTACCCACCCCCCCGCCCCAGTACTGGGGCTCGAACTCTGGACCTTATGCTTGCCAGGCAGACACAGCCCCGCTGAGCTACATCCCTGGCCCCCAAGATGTATTACTTTCCTATTTCATTCCCAGTGCCTGACACAGTATTTGGTCTTTGGTGGGCACTCAGTAGATGACTGGACTAGGGATTCTATTCTTACCCATTCTTTTGTTTCTGTTGCCATAATCCCTGTCCTTCTCTGTAGGCCCTGAGAAAGGAGCTGAAGACTTGGAAAGTAGACGTTGTGCTCAATGATGGGGCCCCTAATGTTGGGGCTAGTTGGGTACATGACGCTTACTCGCAAGGTGTGCAGGGAGTATGGGGCTGATGAGGGTAGAGGTGGAAGTGGCGTGGCCCCAGATCATACTGATTCTCACTGACTGTCTTTATTCCACAGCCCACTTGACACTGATGGCTTTGCGTTTGGCTTGTGATTTTTTGGCCCATGGTGGCTGCTTCATCACAAAGGTTTTCCGTTCCCGTGACTATCAGCCCCTGCTGTGGATCTTTCAGCAGCTATTCCGCCGTGTCCAGGCCACCAAGCCCCAAGCCTCTCGCCATGAATCTGCAGAAATCTTTGTAGTCTGCCAGGGTGGGCATCACTTCCTTCTCTTAGCTCAGCCTTATAATTATCAAAGCATATTTTAAAATATATCTTACCATTTTAGGATTCTTGGCTCCTGACAAGGTTGACAGTAAATTCTTTGATCCCAAGTTTGCCTTCAAGGAGGTTGAAGTTCAGGCTAAGACAGTTACTGAGTTGGTAACTAAAAAGAAGCCAAAGGTGCGTTTGGGGAAGTTGGGCCTGATGGGTCCTTCAGAAACCTCAGAAGGGACTGCCCAACCATTTTTTTTCCTCCCTAAGGCTGAAGGCTATGCTGAGGGTGACCTGACTCTTTATCACTGTACCTCAGTTACTGACTTCCTACGGGCTGCCAACCCTGTTGACTTCCTCTCCAAGGCCAGTGAGGTGAGTTCTCAGACTTGAGGGAGGCATGTAAGGGAGCCCCAGAAACTGAGCCTGAAAATATCCCTTGACTGCTTTTCTTCTCTAATAGATCTCAATAGATGATAATGAGTTGGCACAACATCCAGCTACCACTGAGGACATACGGGCATGCTGTCAGGACATCAGAGTTCTGGGGCGCAAGGAACTTAGGTATGTAGAAGGGTGGTGAAGGGGCCAGGAGCGCTAAAGGAGGTAATAGCCTTTGAACAAAAGCCATGATGCTGGATCTCTGGTTTGGGGTGGGGCCTGAATCTTAGGATTTATGTGGGTGGAGCCAGAAATCTGAAGTGTAGACTGAGTTGGGCATGATAATGCATGCCTGTAATCCTGGCACTCGGGAGGCTAAGGCAGGAGGATCACCTCGAGTTTGTGGCCCGCCTGGGGTACATAGTGAGTTCAAGGCCAGCCTGAACTACATAATGTGACCCTGTCTCAAAACACCAAAAAAAAAAAAAAAAAAGTGTAGACTTCAAACAGAAAAGGAGAGAAAGGAAATGGGAGATGGTAAGATCAATATTTCTGGTGCAGGTCCCTACTGAACTGGAGAACAAAACTTCGGCGTTATATGGCTAAGAAGCTGAAAGAGCAAGCAAAAGCACTGGATATCAGGTGAGAAAAAACTAACAAGGGTAGGTATTACTTTGTGTTGGGAGGAAGTATCTAGAAAATAACCAAACTCTCTGAACTATTTTGTTAGCCTCAGCTCAGGAGAGGAGGAAGGTGATGAAGAATCTACCTCTGAGACCACAAGGCAACCCTCTAAGGAGGAGGAAGAGGAAGAGCAGCTGAACCAGACTCTGGCAGAGATGAAAGCCCAGGAGGTGGCGGAATTAAAGAGGTTAGGGGAGCTAGGGAAGAGCTTGGGGAACTCCAATACATAGTCCCTCTGTGTGTGAAAATGGGAGAAAGGGATGAAAGGCACGGATAAGGAAGCTCAAGTGCTGGGCAGCTTTTTAAATTCCTTAACCCATCCCTTTAGGAAGAAGAAGAAGCTGCTTCGAGAGCAGAGGAAGCAGCGGGAACGCATAGAGCTAAAGATGGATCTGCCTGGAGTTTCCATCGCAGATGAGGGAGAGACAGGCATGTTCTCCCTGTGTACCATCCGAGGTCACCAGGTGAGGTGGAGTTGGGGATACAGGTTGAGACGAGAGTGATTTGCAGAGGGGGAGATGGGAAAAAGAGCCCCGTGACTCAAAAGACAAAAAGAAACACCTGCAATGATGAAATCAGGAAGATCTGTGATTATGATCTAGATTACTATAGAACTAGTACATCAGAACAAAGAGCTGAGATTATAGCAGATGCAGCCAGGATAGCTGGATTACCAGCATGGGTGAAAAGAGGGTGTCCCTCAGTGGAGAGCATCATTCTTCAATTTAGCAAGTTAGCTAAATTGTGACCAAGTTAGCACTTAGAAATTAGATGAATGGTGCTTCTGTCAAATACTAAAGAACGTACTTTTTCTGATGAAAACTGTCACAAGCAAAATTTTTTGCAGCTCTTGTGTGGGAATGTTACAATCAGGTCATCTTTGGCACACAGGAGAGGCAGTATAGCAGCCATAGAACAGACGCAAGCTTAAGCTTTAGACCCAGCTGCACCACTTAAAAGACTGTGGCTCTGAGCTACCACTTACCACTTTTTAACTTACCTACTACGGTTTTTGTGATGAATAAAAAAATAGCTGTTTGCCGTAAGGAAAATAAATTTTGAGGTTCTGACAGTTGGAGTGAAGCAGTTCTTTCAGATGTGTATTGTCTGGGTTTCTCAATGGGATCAAAATGAGTAGATTATTTTCTAAAGTGATTGTGAGTTTTCAAAATGATTTTACTCTTCTTTTGGTGGTAGTGGTGCTGAGAATTGAACCCACGGTTTCTTGCATGTGAGCCAGACTTTCTACCACTGAGCTAGCTACATCCCCAGCCCTACAAGTGATTTTAAACTAGTGAGTGGGACAGAATAGTTCTCTCTAGTCTATTGATGATATTTTTGTTTTTTGGTACCAGGGATCAAACTCGGGACCTTGCACTTTCGAGGCAGGCGCCGGAACCACTGAGCTAAATCCCCAGCCCCGCCGGTTCTCTCTAGTCTAGGATGGGATGTTTTATATAGGCCAGTTTCTTTATCTGTAAAATGAAATAGCTATTTATTACAGTGTATTTACTAATGTTAGGAGATGAGATCGCAAATATTTTTTCCTAAGTACTCAATTTCTATTTCTCTTAACTTCAGTTGTTAGAGGAAGTAACACAAGGGGACATGAGTGCTGCAGACACACTTCTGTCTGATCTGCCAGGGGATGACATCTATGTGTCAGATGCAGAAGAGGACAATGATTCATCTCTGGACAGTGACCTGGATCCAGAAGAGTTGGCAGGGGTTGGGGGACATCAGGGACTGAAGGACCAACAGTGGTAAGGGATTTATAGGAGGTGTCCCCTTACCTTTAGTTCGACTGCTGACACAAAGTTGGTGTGTGCATTCCTAGAAATGGGTATGGGAAGCAAGGCCTCTGGGCATTTGGTCACTGAGCAGCCTTTCCCTACTTTCTCTGGTGTTGGCAGTGTGCGATTTGCTCAACTAGAAGATAATAAAGAAGAGGAAGAAGAGAATCCACTCCTGGTACCACTGGAGGAAAAAACAGTGCTGCAAGAAGAACAAACCAACCTGTGGTTCTCAAAGGTAAGAAGCTGGGGATAAGACTGGTGGGAAACTGGCATTCCCTGGGAGGAAGGCTGAAGGTTCTCCCCCAACAGGATGGTTTCAGTTGGATTGAGGATGATGCTGATGAAGCTCTGGAAATCAGTCAGGCCCAGTTGTTGTACAAGAACCGCCAGAAGGAGCAGGAGCCGCCACAACCACTGTCACCTTCCAGTTTGAAGACTGAGAGAAAGTTTCCCCAGTACCAGAATAAGGCCCCAGATGAGAAAGAGGCTCCCTCAGGGGCAGGAGCCACCACTGACCCTGGAAGGGAAGGAAGTGACAGCTCAGACAGTGAGAGCAGTAGCAGTGAGGATGAAGAGAGGTGAGTCCAGCAGGTGGAAAAGGGATAAAGAGGAAGCAGTGATTTGAATCATTTCTTCAAGTTGGGGTTCCCAAGGTTGGCTATAGATAGGGAGCTTTAAAAATACCAATGATTGATTTAACTGGCTTGAGTGGCAAGGATTTCTGTAAGTTCCTAAGACAGTTTTAATTAGGAAGCAGGGTTGAGGTGGAATATGGTATGAGTGGCATGGAAAGGTGGAATATTTGTTTATAGCCCTGCCCTCTTCCACAGTTGGGGACCATCCCGTGGTAAGAAGCAAAGCCGTGGGCCTAAGAAAGATGACGGGTTTGAGGTAGTACCTATTGAGGACTCAGGTGAGAGCTCTGTCCATGTAGAATGAGAGGATGGGGATTTCAGTGTTGAGAATTGAGGTTTGACATTTGTCTTCTCCCTAGTGAAACATCGGATCCTGGACCCTGAAGGCCTTGCTTTAGGTGCTGTTATTGCCTCCTCCAAAAAGGCTAAGAGGGACCTCATAGATGACTCCTTCAACAGGTGGGGGAGTCAGAAAATCATAAGCTGCTGCCAAGATGTGATTAAATGGATGACTGCCTTTTTAGGAAGCCTGGAATGATTTTATTGGTTATTGGCCTGCTGTCCTCTGTCCAGGTATGCATTTAATGAAAATGAAAGAGAGCTTCCAGACTGGTTTGTGCAGGAAGAGAAGCAGCATCGAATACGGCAGTTGCCTCTTGACAAGAAGGAAGTGGAGCACTACCGCAAACGCTGGCGGGAAATCAATGCACGTCCCATCAAGAAAGTGGCTGAGGCCAAGGCCAGAAAGAAACGGAGGGTAAATAATGGGGGCTGCCTGAAGTTAGGTGTGGGTGGGGCAGAAGTGAAGAAGTCACCTGACTGAAGTCCCCTCCCAGATGCTGAAGAAGCTGGAACAGACCAAGAAGAAGGCAGAAGCGGTGGTGAACACCATAGACATCTCAGAACGAGAGAAAGTGGCACAGTTGCGAAGGTAATTGGGGGAAGACACCACAAAAGGGTTAAAAATAGTAACAAGAAAGTATGCCTCTAACCTTTCTTTCTTTTTACAGTCTGTATAAGAAGGCTGGGCTTGGCAAGGAAAAACGTCAAGTCACCTATGTTGTAGCCAAAAAAGGTGTGGGCCGTAAAGTGCGGAGGCCAGCTGGAGTTAGAGGTCATTTCAAGGTGGTGGACTCCAGGATGAAAAAGGATCAGAGAGCACAACAACGTAAGGAGCAGAAGAAAAAACACAAACGTAAATAAGGAGACTGTAAAACTTAGCAGGTCCAGCTAACCCTGGTATCCTTGGTACCAGTTTTGCCCTTACTTGTATCACAGAGGTCTAAGATGCCAGGAACGTGGTCCTAAGTGGTGAGAAGGACATCTTCCTGCCTTTAGGACGGTTTCCCATAAAAGCACCAAGGGAGCTGCTTTGTTGGTGCTGTGACAGTCTATTACCCTTCTGTGAAGAACAGAGTGGTGGATGAAACATCTAAATCTTAAGGGAAAGTTCAGTGTGGTGTTTTGTATGGACCTCTTGCATCTCACCCATCCCACTCCATTACTGAATAAAACAATATCAGTGCTGGACTGTTCCAGATCATAATATGTACCAACTATTTTAAGGTAGAAATGACAAACAATCTGTGGGTCCCAGTAGTAAAACATTTACTAGAGAGCAAGCAGAGGAATGCACATCTTAAAGAAACCTTCACAAAGTCACAAAATTTGAAGTTTGTGTATTTCTTTTCCTTTTATAAACAAGATAGAACAAAAATCATCAAAGTCATTTCAGCAAAAGACTTCTACTGGGGCAAGTTACAAAACAAACCCAAAAAATCCCAAACCAAATAGAAGACACTTTAAAAGCTGTTGTTGGGGTTTTTCTTTAATTTTAAGTTTAGCAATACCTCAGGCCTGAAACAGTCTTCGAACCTTCAAGATCATCATTTCTCTTCAATGATAGAGGCTCTGAGAACCTCAGAAGCTGGGTCTAGAAGGTTGCCTCTTATATGTCTCAGGGCTGGATACAATCTGGAGAACCTGAGCATCAACTTTGTTTAGAATTGGGCATCTCCCTCCCCTGCAAATGTCTTAAAAGCACCAAACTGCTTTCCAACGTCCCCAACAGCTCGATGGATTGGGTTTGCAGAAGACAACTCCTAAAAAGGGGATTGCCTGGCAGAGTGCTAAGAAAAAGAATCTGATTCATAGATGTTTATAAGGTGACGTTTTAGTAAAAAATATAAGCTACTTAGAAACTTAAGTGAGTTTTGTGCCCTATAAGGCCCTTTTCCCCCCAAAGTGTCTTCCACTTACCCTCATGACAACTCAGCCAGAGCCAAGAGAAGCTTCCCAGCTCTCTGCTTGGTGGGACCTAAGCAGCTTCCCAAGAAAGCATCTGAACAATCATTCGTATGAAGGCATAATGTCTCTGTGCTCCAGCTCTCCACTAAGGGCAGGGGGTCCTTATACCTTGGACCCCAACCCCGCCCTGAGACACCTAGTTACCAAAATCTCTCTAAAAATAAAATTAAAGAACTGATTTCACACTGTAGCACATACCCTCTAACTGTCCCATCGACTCTTCTTGCGTTTGGGTGGCTCCGGGACAGCAAAACCATCAGCTGTCTTATCTGTCTTGCTGTCCATCTTGTCCATCTTGCTGTCCACCTTGGGGTCCATCTTGCTTTCACGATTACATCCTTCTTTCTTGCTTTCTCCATTCCGACCATCATTTGTACCCCGGCTCTCCCCATGCCGGCCTGTACTTCCTCCATGCCTGTTCTCCCCATGCCGATGGCCATCAGTATGACGGCTGGTGCTTTCTGGGTAGCGGTATCCATCTCCATGGCGACCACCATCTCCATGACGTGGGCTATCACCATGCCGATTGCCACTCTCTCCATGACTGTGACGACTGCCACCCCGGTTTTCAGTATATCTCTCTCTTTTCCCATTGCCACCCCCAATCCCATCTCGGGTGTTATTTCCCGAAGCTGTGTTGTTGGCTCCCTGGGTGCCAACAGAAGGGTATGTCACCGGAGCACTGCTGATATTCCCAGCATTGCCAAAGCCCAGGATGCTCTTGGCAGCACTGCCAATAGGGCTGTCAGGACTGTTATGGCCCTGCTGTGCTGAATTAGTTGGAACAGAATTCAAGCTTCCTGCACTAGTCCATCCACTTGGCCCAGCAGCAGAGCTTCCAGCCTTTTGATTACTTAAACTGGCTGCAACAAAATGACTCTTATACTGTGACTGAAAGAGAAAGAGACAACAGGAGTAGGTACCATAGCAAGTTCAAGAAACCTGAGTATACACACATATAAGTTTGGCAAGTCTGTAAAGAATATAGAAACTAGCTCTTATTTTTGCACCATGACTTGCTTATGTGAGACCATTCTGATGGTCCTTTGGTTCTTGTGCTATAAAACAATACAAAAACTTGTAAAGAGATGGACCTTAATGTACCAAAATTTATTGCCTGCCAAACTAAAATAAAGCATCTATGTATGAAGCAGTCCAACACATTTATGGTCTACAATCTATTATTCACAATTCAAAAATTTTAAAAAATTGTGAAAACACTTTTTGAACAGTCTGGTTACAATGGGCTGGGATTGCAGTTCAATAGTAGGGCACTTACCTAGCATCCAGAAAGCCATGAGTTTGATGCCCAGCACAACAAAAACCAATAAAGCCTAACCTGAGCCGACATAAAGCTATTTAGTTTCTATCTAGCCACTTTAGTGTGACTATAATTATATTTTGGCTTAGAAGTAAATCTGATTATATAAGGTATGACGGTTGACATTGAAGTGATAATTATGCAATATGGATGACATTATTTGAAAATTCCTAAACAGGGTTTCTGAGTTCTTCTATTAATATAAAACATGAAAAAGTTGTGGGACCAAACTGGAGGCATCAGTCTGGATACAGGTAAAATGTGTAAATAAAGGCCCAGCTAGTTAATCAGATGGTAACTAGCTAAGTGGAAGAGCAGGTTGGAAGAGAAGTTCCAAGTTTATAAGAAAACTGGTGATACATGTCTGTAGTTCCAGCTTCTCAGGAGACTGAGGTGGGAGGATCACTAGATTTCATTAGTTTGAGACATGTGGACAACATAACAACCCCATTTCAAAATAAAACAAATCGGGGAAAAAAGTTCACAAGGGACAGCAGAATCAAACCAATCTTAGTAAAAAAGACGGCAATTATTCTCAACTGTGATGGCTTGTAGGTAAGCAGTAACACAGGCTGTGGAGCTAGAGAATGAAACAGACCCTGCTGCAGTATAGCAATCTCAGGCTCTGGCTGCTGATACAAATGACCAGCATGAGGCGTTTCCCTAGCTCTATCTACACTTCCATCTCTAGGTAAGCTACTGTTAAGTTTATACAGATATATCCCGTTTAATGACCTACCCATTTTTTTCTTTTTTTTGGTACTGGGGATTGAACTCGGGTCCTTGTGCTTGTGCAGCAGGTGGCGAAACCACTGAGCTAAATCCCCAGCCCCAGGTAAAGATGTTTTTTTTTGGTACCGGGAATCGAACTTGGGTCCTTGTGCTTGGGAGGCAGATGGCGGAACCACTGAGCTAAATCCCCGGCCCCAAACCTACCCATTTTTAATGACCGAGGTGTGCTATCTGGACTTACTACCCATGTTTGTAGTTTTGTGTATCTTGTTTATAAGGCCTGAATGTCTTTTTCTGGTACAGTATACCTTGTTTATATGGTATTTGTTTTATTTTTGCTGATTGTACTGTACAGTACTGTAGGTTTTAGGTTATATATTACAGTACTGCATGTAAGTTATGCAAATAAAAGCAAAGTTATTAAGTTGTTATCTCCTTTGACTATTTCTTTGTTTTGAATGTTGTAATGTATACTCTATACAATTCCTCATTTGGCGACCAATTCAATTAACAACTTAGTCACAGGAATGGAATTCAGTTGTAAAACAAGCAATGTCCATATGTGAAATCCAAGCAATGAGAAGGGCCTAAATGTAGCATGAGGTCTGTAAGCCCAGTTACCATCTCAGGAAGACTAGAGCCCCAACACTGTTCAGGAGTTAACACTGAAAGTTTTTTAGACAAAGTACTTATTTCAGACCTGAAAAGCTGCTTTCATTGCTGTCAGGCGATCTCCCATGGCTCCTGTGGAGGGCTTGTAGGCCTCATAATTACTCATCACATTGTTATTATTTCCTCGATCCTAAACAATAAAACATACCCATGAGGACAGGAAAATAGGTGAGAATGCAACTACCAAAGACTGGGCCTCATTATACTGAAAACTGTAGAAAAGAGCTACAAAGGGATCTGGGTATTTTTAGAAAGCTGCCCTTTGTGGGAAATGGTGCAATGATGTAGAGGCATTTAAACATATCCAGCAATTCTACTCCTGGAAGTGCCATCAGATTATGCCCAAAGTTGAGGATGTATTATTTAAACAAACATTCAATTAAGTAAAAATTATGTTAAACATGAAAAGACCACCAATATAGAATACCGTATAACTAACTAGGCTCTGAATTAAGAACACTAAGGATCTCAATCTGCTCTGACACTTAACCAGTATGGAAGTGCAGGTGCCTCAGTGTTTTTTGTTTTGGTTTCTTTCTTTTTTTTTTTTGGTACCGGGGATCGAACTCGGGTCCTTGCGTTTGCAAGACAGGCGGCGGAACCACTGAACTAAATCTCTGGCTGTTTTGGTTTTTTTTTTTTGTACTGGAAATTGAACTCGGGACCTTGCACTTGTGAGGCAGGCAGTGGCACCACTGATGCCTCAGTTTTATTATTTGTACTTAACACTGAATTATCTTTTTTCTTTTTGGTACCAGGGATCAAACTCAGGACCTTGCGTTTGCCAGGCAGGCGGTGGAACCACTGAGCTAAATCCCGGGCCCTTAACACTGAATTAAAGATGAACTGCTTTGGGCCAGGTGGTTCCAGCACCTGCCTCGCAAGCACAAGGTCCCGAGTTCGATCCCCAGTGCCAAAAAAAAAAAAAAAAAAGATGAACAGCTTTAATATTTGGAATGGCCCTGGTACATATGAAATGTTCAACAAGTACTGGCTATCACCATTATGACTGTAGAAAGGAAAGAATATTTATTGAGGATGGCAAGTTAACTATAACACTACAGAAGCTGGAAACTTTCTTCCATGGCTCAGGAATCAACATGTCAGAAAACAGGCAGGTATACCAGTTACTTGACAGGCCGAATTGGTAGGACTGCTTAAGCCCATGAGTTTGAGGCCAGTCTGGACAACACAGGAAGAACAAAACAGCTGGGCATAGCGATAAACACCTGTAATCCCAGATAGTCAGGAAGCTGAGCCAGGAGGATTGTAAATTCAAGCCCAGCCTGGGCAATTTAGCAACACCCTGTTCTCAAAAACAAAACAAAACAAAAAATAAAAAGGGGTGGGGATGTAGCTCAGTAGTAGACCACCTCTGAGTTCCATCTCCAGCACAAAAACAAAACAAAACACTACAGAAAAACACAAGTTTGGCATGGTGGCATATACCCAATACCTATAGCCCCAGCTACCTACTTCGGAGGCTGAGGGAAGCAGATCACTTGAGTCTATGA